TCCCATTTAAACCACAACAAGCACCCCTGAAGCAAGAATTTTTGGTTTTTCTGGACACTCAGTTGTGTCATGTGATGTTTTTCTGTAGACTGTTTTATGAGATGTTTTGCTGGAGCAGATGCTTGAGGGGCACCTGATGTTTACAGAGTGTAAGTATAACCCAATGGACAGTGGACGACGCTCTAGCATTGGTTTGCCTTGCAACTCTTTGTGGTCATCATTAAGAGTCTGCTGATGCTGATCTTCGCTGATGCTGCTGCACGGTATTGGTTCGCCTTGCTTTCTTTGAGGATCTTTGCTTTGGAGAGAGAAACTCACCAAAGAACTTCTGGTGGTGTTCCTGCCGCTTGCTCAGACTCATGCCGATTGGCAGAGCCTCTCAGTTTCTTCTGGATTGTGCTGCTGCTACTAATTCATGTTTGGTGTTTGCCGGACTGACTGGACTGCCCCTGTTGATTTGTGTTTGGTGTTTTGCTATTGAACTGGACTGCTGACAATAAAGACTGGAATTACCCCGAAGAACTATTTCTAAACAGGTCTACAACCCGTTTCCTATTAACCTTTCTTTCTTTTCCCCTACCTCTGATGGGCTGTGTGGCGGTGGACCATGAGAGGAAGCCTGGAAATGTCGAGCTAAGGCCTCAGGGACCCTGAAGGGACAGTAAAAGTTTTACCTGCTCATGACTCCAGGCTCCTGTCATGCAGCCACAGCCCCCCATAGAGAGAATTGTGGCCATCAGTCACATAAGGGGAGCACCCACACGTCCCTCCTCATGTAGATGAGACATCTCAGGCCAAGCCAATAGGAAGCACCTGTTGTCAGACCCAACCCAGCCCAAACTGTATAGAAGATCCTATCAGAAGGAATAAAAGTGTGTGAGAATTGCTCCAACATCTGAGAGCATCTGTCACAAGAGCTGTAACACTGCCTGGAAAGGGATCGCTCTCCTGAACCTTTCACTACCAGAAGCTCCCCTGCACTCTGCTCACCGGCCTGCTTGGCTTGGCTCAGCACAGCCAGTGAAGCCTCACAGAGCAGCAGGGGTACTAGAGCAGCAGTGGAGGCAGCTGAGGTACTTCCCTCTCCCTGCTCCTGCCCTTTCCCCTTCACTTGACCCCTCCCACTGGGTCAGGCCAAAGGTCTCTGTGGATAGCCTCCAGTGCACAGACCAACAGTGGACTAGAAAGGAGGCTGAAATGTTAAAGAACCATAATTAATGTAGGTTTTGGAAAATCTAAGCCTACACATCCCAAATGAGATCTGGATTCTGAGTTGCTAAGGACAGTGCCATCCTGTATACTGGGGAAAGACTCAGTCCAGGCTTTGGCTGTGATAACTTTGGGTGAGGTTTCCCTAGACCTTCAAAATTCTAGACAGAAAAAAAAAAGGCTGTGCTCCAGCTCTGAGTTAGACACTAACTCTCTTTCTGTCTCAGAGCCTCAGTTTCCCTACATCCCAACAACGACCATATGTAACACTGCCCTGAAAGTCCTTTCTCAACTGTATCATATTCAAGGTGAGGAACGTGGACATGACTCCCTGGGGGGACACCTGCTGGTAGGACATGGGATCTGTTTTGTTTATGTGTGCTTGCAGCTGTATGTATGGGGTGGGTGCATGCATTATGTGGAGAGCTCAAGGAGGCCAGAAGGTGTCAGATGTCCTGTAACTAGAGTTATAGGTAGTCGAGAACCACCTGGTGTGGGTGCTGGGTATGGAACTCCAGACCTCTGCAAGAGCAGCATCACCCTTAACGGTAGAATTGTCTCTCCAGCCCTGCGGAATCACTCTTAAATCAGACCTAGCCAAGAAAAAATAGAACCATAGTCAGGTTCAATGCTGCCTCCTGCACTTGGCTTTGACAGAAATGACAATCCAGGTCCCGTATGAGTCAGAAACTTTCTTAAAATGTCTTTTAAGGGCTGGGGCTATGGCTCAGTCTATAAAGGTCTTGCTCTGCACGCATGAGAACCTGCATTGGAGCCCCAGCACCCATGGAAACGCTGAGTACAGCAATGCGGGCCTGAAATTCCATCACTGGAGAGGCAGAGACAGGGATTACTGGAGCTGGCCAGGCAGCAACACCAGCTCAGAAAATAAGGTGCGGAGAACTTGAGACTGACACTCAGCATCAACCTCCTGCTTCCACACACAAACGCGGATGTCATCTAGATTCCGGATGTGAGAGGAAGCACATGTCCATTGCCTCTCAGAGCCTGGCTGGTTTGGCTCAACATGATGTTCTGTGCCTCATTCATTTCCTGAAAACAATAGAATTTCCTTTTTCTCTCGGGCTCAATAAAACCCTCTCAGTACGCATGCGCTTCTTTATTCATTCATCCACAGGTGAACATCTAGGCTGAGGCCAGAACAAAAGGCAATATTGTTTCAATTTAGTAACAACTTGTCACCTCCTCCAAGGCTCAGGGAACACCTCAGAGAAGGGGACGGAAAGAAAGAACTTGAACTGGGGGTGGGGGTGCCCCAGGATGCTGTCTCGTGGGTGTAGCTCGGCATCTGGACTCTTGGACTCTCAGGGCCAGTCAGGTGTGTTTACCTGAAGAGACCTACGCTAAACTAGGCCCATCAAGGCCCCATTCCAGAGGAGGGAGGGGCTCGGGAGGCTCCACCCTTCCCTAAAGATCTGCAGTAGTGGGTGGTTGCTGGGAGAGGGAGAGGGAGTTTCTTCAGTGTTGTAGCCTCGGGTGAGCTATGCTCTCTGCTAGGCTCTCGCAAGCAGCCCTAAGGAAACTCATTGGATCCCAAACAAGCAAATAAGAAAAGTTATGATCAGGAAGAGGGCTGGGGTTTGTTGGTTTCTGATCAAGCTGAGAAAACACAAATGAGCCCTCAGATCCAGGGTAAGACCCTGCCTCAAAGAAGCAGGGGGAGGAGCTCAAGAGAAGGCTCGGAGGCTAGCACAGGCTGCTCTTGGAGAGGACTCAGGTTCAGTTCCCAGCAACCGCACGTCAGCTCACAGACATTCCGAACTCCAGTTCCAGGGGGTCTGACACCCTTTTCTGGCCTCTGTGGGCACCAAGAATGCACATGATACACAGACACACATTCAATCAAAACACCCAAGTACGTAAAGTTAAATTGAGAAAGAGAGAGAGAGAGGAAGAGAGAGAGGGAAAGAGAAAGAAAGAGAGATAGGAAGGAAGGAAGAAGTTGCAAGAAGCAGATGAAAAGTGACAGAGGATGCTGTGATGGTTTGACAATGCTTAGCCAGGGTGTGGCACTATTAGGAGGTGTGGCCTTGTTGGAATAGGTGTGGCTTTGTTAGAGTAGGCGTGGCCTTGTTGAAGTAGGTGTGGCCTTGTTGGAGGAAGTGTGTGGCTGTGAGGGTGGGCTTTGAGACCATCCTTCTAGCTGCCTAGAAGACAATCTTCTTCCTGACTGTCTTCCTATCAAAACAGAACTCTCAGCTCCGTCTCCAATAACATGCCTGCCTGGATGCTGCCATGCTTCCTGCCGTGATGATAATGGATTGAACTTCTGTAACTCACTGTAAGCCAGCCCCAATTAAGTGTTGTCCCTTATAAGAGTTGCCTTGGTCGTGGTGTCCCTTCACAGGAATGGAGCTAACTAACTAAGACAGATGTGTAATGCCCTCTTTTGATCTCCAAGCTTACTCACAGGTACATGTAGCGCGCGCGCGCGCGAACACACACACACACACACACACACACACACACACACACAGATGTGTATATACAAATAGCTAAATAAACGTTTGTGCATTTAGGTATATGGAAATTTTTACTTCATTTTAAAAAGATATTTACAGCGATGTGATGCAAAAGCTGGAAATAACTCAAATATCTTATATTAGGTGTTAGGTTAATAAATGGTGTGTGTTTCCATATTCCATAGCCACAAAAATTTATAGAAGGAGATGTCGGTCACAAGAAGAGAGTCCTTAGCCGGGCGGTGGTGGCGCATGCCTTTAATCCCAGCACTTGGGAGGCAGAGGCAGGCGGATTTCTGAGTTCGAGGCCAGCCTGGTCTACAGAGTGAGTTCCAGGACAGCCAGGGGTACACAGAGAAACCCTGTCTCGAAAAACCAAAAAAAAAAAAAAAAAAGAAAAAAAAGAAAAGAAAAAGAAGAGATGTCCTTGAAAGTCACTGATTGGTTGGTACATAAGCACGTGCACACGCATGCGCGCGTGCACACACACACACACAAAGCCTCAAGTTTTGGTGTTACTACCTTTTGTTTTTGTTTTGATTTTTGCCAAAGGGAGATAGGAAGCTACTTTGAAAGATGTTATTCTAGACGCTTTAACACTGAGTTAATAGATGCTTTTTGACTTACGATAGAACAGTGTACAGATATACTTACCATAAATATAAAACATCAAAAATGTATTTGAGGGTCAGGAGGGGTCATGTGCTAAGGTCTTGACTCGAGTATCACTAAGCTGGTGTGCTGGTGTACACTGGGGAGCTGGAGTCAGGGGGGATTTCTGTGGCTCTCTGTCCAGCCTACCTTAATCAGTGAGCCCCAGGTCTCAGTGAGAGACCTTATCTCAAAGATCACGGTGGACAGCTCCAGTGTTAACTTCTGATCTCCACATGTGCACACATTCGTGAGTACCCACCTACACATATACAAACATATATATATCTCCTGGTGTCTGCCTGTTTGTACTGGATTAAATTTCATCTGCATTTTCTTGGCCACAAACAGCTAGTAGTACCTGTTCCGGTTCTGAATGTGTTGGATCCAGAAGAAGAAACTATAAATCAAATTCCCTCTCCGAGACCATAGCTTCTGAGGCTCTTCCATTTCCTATCCAAAGTGTAACTAGGAACCCAAGTCAGGACCCACAAGCATGGCAGACCACTTGGGCTCAGGGATCGTTAGGAAAATAATGAACTCCAGTTCTCAAAGCACATAGAGAGGGAACCAGCAGGCACAGGGCGCAGGGGGGTGAGGACAGAAACACCCATAGCCCTTACAGCCTAGATGGCAAGCGACCCAACTCCTACTTACCCTCCTCACAGTTGCTTCCGGTAAATCCAGGGCAACACCTCCACTCCAGCGCAGTCACGGTGCGGTAGGAAACTCGGTAGGTCGGTCTAATGAGAGTCCTGTAACTAACACAAGGACGCGGTCAGTGGGGCATGCACTCCTGCCCGTCCATACCAGACTGGCTGCTGAAGGTTCCGGGCCAACTTAGAGTGTGGGAGGCCAGCAGGACAGTGGACCTGTCACTTCAGCTTTGTGCTCACTGGCTCTGTGGTTTGAGACAAATCACCAGCCCTGGAGACCCAGGCAGGGATCAGAGACCCTTCCAGATTGTTCTTCCTTCTCTTAAACCCTCACTAGAGGATGCCAAGCAGGTACTACACCACAGGGACACCCCTTCTCCACAGCACTTTACTGGGGGATTCTAGGCAAGTGCTCT